CCCCCCCCCCCCGCCCATGTGACTCACACTTCCGAGCAGCTCGCATCCTCTTCAGCTCTGGCGCACCGAGACCCATGAGTCGGCCAGTGTTAAGCTCACGCAGGATGCCTTGATTCGATCTCGCGTGCTGGAGATCCTCACTCCGGAGGGGTGCCCCTCGGCCGCCCTGGTGACCACTTCCATTTCCTGTCCCCCGGGGCCAGGCCAGTCGATTGGCATTCGTTTGCGTACGTCTCCCCCTCCTCCTCTTGCCCTTGATTTGGTTCAGGCGGTCCATTGCCAATCCGCTCCTCTCTCTCTCTCTCTCTCGGTCTCTTCCTCCTAGCCATCTCGGCCATACTAACGCCCTTACGAGGGACACATCGCCAGCCTTTCTCACCATCCAGGTGAAAAATCTCAACCGCTATTTCTCCTTCGAAGTCGAGGTGGAGGATGATCAAGGCGTTGTGCGCCGGTTCCGGTGTTCCAACTTCAACGTGCGCCTCTCGGATGCCTCCTCATCAGACTGGATTTCAATTCTCCCTCTGTTGGCTCTGACCTGTGGCGCTATCCCCCCTCCCCCCCCCCCTCCTCGCCCAGACAACCACCCGCGTAAAGGAGTATATTTGCACCATGCCCCTGCTCCTGGACGCCGGGTGGAATATCGTCAAGATCGATCTGGCCCAAATGGTTCGGTGCGTGCCGCCCAAGATGGGCTCCCCAAGCACAGATGCGGGGGATTTCCCAGCTGCTCACCCACTCTGTTCCGTCTTTGTCCATGTGTTCCGCATCCATAGCAAGGTGTACGGCACCCAGTTCACCGAGGTCCGCTCGATCACCATCCATCCCAACTGCCTCCTTCGGAGAATCTTCTTCAGCGACAAGAACATCCCGGAGGAGGACCTGCCGGCTGATTTCCGCTTGCACGCGGCCAGCGACACGGCCAATTGATAAAGCCCCAGCCGTGATCCCTTGTTGTTCTTGGGGCTTCCCCCGTTCCCCCCCCTCCCCCCTCCCGGGACAGCCAAAGCGGGCACACATCGAGTGAGGTCCAACAACAAGAGACATACAATACATTTGAGAAAAAAAAAGCAGGACTAGAGCGCGTCTCACCGACCATGCCCTGACTATCCCCGGAGCAAAGTCACTCCTCATGTCAATAGGGCAGCCAGTATTACTGCGACTGGGGGAGGATGTTATCCAGGATGTCGGTTGTCCGGGCGAGAAGCTGCGCCGAGGTTGGCCGCATCGATGGGTCGTGTTCCTGACACCAGCGCTGAAGCACCTGCATTTTGCCCACGGCAGGGTTTTCCGGGTCAAAGACAACCGGTGTATCTCCGTCGAAGCTCGGCCGCTCGCCCTTTCGGACCTGTTCCATGATAGCGCTGACGGTCATGCCTGATCGTGGCAAACGGCGACACCGGCGTGTGGGCGTACACATGCGCGAGAGGATGCATACATGGATACATGCATGTGTGAGTCCGTGTGGGGGGCAATACGTGGGTGAGCGAGTTTTTTCCGCCCAAACAGGGCAAGGAAGAACACCCCAGAAAAAGTGACGGACCTGGCCAGGGAAGTTTGCGCGTGAGGACCTTCCAAATGAGCACCGACATGGCATAGATGTCACTGGTCTTTCGGTGTTCGACCGCCGGCTGGGCGCGTTTCATGACAGCCGTGAGAAGCTAGACACAAGTGGCCATGTGTGCAATCGCAGAAGGGCAAGAAACAGACTAAATGTGAGAAGGGCATGGAGCCAGGGCGAAGGCAGAGAAGTAATCATGAATCGTAGGTCGTGGCATGTGCGCGCGCGCGTGTGTGTGTATGTATGTATGTATGTATGTGTGTGTGTGTGTGTGTGTAGAGTCCCACAAAGACAGGCACAGTGTGGCCACCGTGTGGCCGGGCCGAGAAAGACCCTTCGAAGACGCACCTCCGGACTGGCATAGATGATCGAGAAGGCATTGAAATCGGAGATCTCCATCTGGATATGTGACTGCCGATCGGCATTGATCGACTGAGCCACACCGAAGTCACCGATTGCGGCCATCCAAATGCCAGTGTGGGTATTCATCTCGATGAAGATGTTCCTCGACTTGATGTCCTGGTGGACAATGCCAACACTGTGAATGTGCTCGAGGCCGTTGGCTGCGCGCAGGCGGGAGGCCCAGTTGTGCCGGGTTCATCACACACAAGCACCGGGTCAATACCGAGAGGCACGGAGCACGAGATGCTCGTCTGGCGAAGATCCCACTCCCAGCTAGACAGGCACAGGGGATTTTGCGCACCGATGTCCCTCAAGACCGAGAGGGAGGACTGGAGGGTGAACTCGATCGTCGACTCGAGCAGGACATCGAGAGACATGTTGAAGCACTTCATGCCGATGGCCGGCGGATTTTCGGAGTAGAAGTACATCGGCACGATGTTCGGCGTCTTGGACAGAGACCTGTCATCCAGCGCGGGAGGGACCCCCCAAACGGGCGTGCATTTGTGTGTCTGTGAGAAGGGAGGAGGCGTTTTCAAGGAGGGGGAGGGGGGGGGGGCTGCGAGGGGCAAGGGCAAGCAAGCTCAGCGCAACAATGCCACGCGACGTACCACATGATGGACACCTCACGGTAGAAGAGACGCAAGGTGAGATCGCTCATCTCTGCAGGGTGACATTCGGCGTCCAGCCAAGCGCGGAAGGGGGGGAGGGGGGGGGGGG